TATATATATATATATATATATATATATATATATATATACATATAATAACTAAATTAACAAGGATCAAACACCAAAACCAAGTATAATGAAAAAGAAAACAAACAAAATACAAATATAATAACTCAATAAAATACATGAACCAACTACCAACAATAAATTCATGTCAGCCCAACTAAATAGCTACATTGTATACTGTAATTCACAAAGTAAATGGGCTGTAAACAATCAAAATGAAGAAACTATATTAAGAAATTAATTGAAACTTGAATCAAATACTCAGCTGTTAAGTTATGGTCCAGACCCAGGTGTGTGGCTAATTAACCACGCCACTGACACGAGTTCACAGGGACCACGACCCAAACATAGTGCGTGGGGAAATCCAGTGAAACATCCACGGGCGTCTGGAGACGAGTGCAGTAATCTGGAGAAACCAGACAGTTGTAGTCCTCTGTAGAGACAAAACAGATGTGAGTCAGTCAACTGATCACTATCAAAAGGTATTAAACTTGAAGCTGACGATGTGAGTCTGGACTCAGCTACTCACCTGCTGACACACACATTCAGACTCACACACACATACACTGGAAGGAAGAGGAGGAAAGCATCAATCTTGACGTTCACCTGCAATCAAACCAGAAAGATCAACTATAGTGCACCAAGAGAGGACACCTACCCCACCCCACGAAGGCAAGAACAGCACACATAACACAATCTGCTGCTCAGCAAAAATCAAACCCCACACATGCTGCGAGCCACGTAGTGGGAACGTGAAGAAGAAACCAAGTGCCAGAACAAGCACTGCTGCCTCTTTAACACTCTGTACACCTCATTTAACCAGAAGTGACGTGTCTCTAGCCAGGTATATTTCTATACTGCTACATGAATAAAACTAAAAAAAACAACTATTAATTAATTTCTCTCTAGCTTCATACAGTGTGTTGTGTATGTAGTACACAAATAGTACACAATATTTATCTGCTTACTGCATTTTAAAGAGATTAAGGTATTTGTGGCAGAGCTGAATCTTTGATCATTTGAATCGAGCACTTTGTCCATTAGGAAGAATGAGACACTTCTCATCTTCTAAGCAGCTCATGTCACAGTTTGTCACAAGTGACATGAGCTCTTCTGAGGGGACACTTAATCTGGAGCTGCACTGAGTCCAAAATCCATCTGGGCTTAAAATGCTATTAAAGTAATTAATAAAAAAAAATAAAATTATCAACATTTTCCTATTAGACCTGCCTTGCCCTGCAATGTATGAACAACAATACACTTGGGCTCTGTGTCTCTGCTTTAACATAAATAAGATTTACTTATACTGACATGCCTCAGAGCTGTTCAGCTTGTTCATCGCGTCGGAAGAAACGCTAAAGTAGTTAAAGTTGCTAAATAGTAGATGTAATCTGCAGCCCTCGTGTGCAGCAGGCAGAATGATTATATTGTCCTGTTTAAATTAAATTCACAAAGCTCGGACTAATTTTACACTGTTCGCACATAAACTCAGTTTTCGCTCCGCCTGAAGTCGCGCACATATTACACACAAAGCGTCACCAGAACAATTTACTTACTGTCCAGAAAATGCATGCGTGTGTAAATACACAATAATACATCAACAAAAATGACTGACTTACTTTTTTTCATATCTTTTGGTGTGTGATGAACTGAAATGTTTTAGTGTATGAAGAGCTGACGACGATGACTCTAAACGTTGTGGGCCTCCTGCAGAATACGCATGCGCGCACACTGCAAATCGTGCAAATACACAGTAAGACCATGTATACACCAAAACCATTTACGTTCCAGAAAATGCATTGCACACTTCAAATTGTGTAAAGACACAATAATACACCAAAAAAAAAAATACTGACTTGTTTATTTTCGTATATTGTAGTGTAGATCTTGTTTTGTATGATAAACTGACTACTCCTCTGAACGTCGCAGGCGTCTTGCAGAATGTGTATGCGCACACATGCGTATTAACTACATATATGACAATCTGACGGATATCACTAACCGACAGAACAGCGACAGCTCTACCAGCTGTGCCACTGTGCTGTCCAGCTACAATCTTGAGTTTGTTTTTTCACTTTCAGTTTCATTGTTTCTGAACATATCTTTGTTGAATTATTGAGCATGCATCAGGATATATCCATGTTGTCTTTGTGACTGTAAGGGACACCAAAAATCACGTAATCGTTTTCATCGGGTACTTTCACATCTCATGTTATGAAAAAGACAGAAGATACCAGATGATGTGTGGGTCAGCTGTGAACTTTTAACATTTTGGCTATTTTCTAATATTCCAGATGTCGTTCGCCAGTGACAAACTTTGGAATGGATATTTGCGGCAGAACATGTCAACTATTGTTAGTAAAGTGAAAGTGAGAGAAATTGTGCCATATTTGCAGTGCCTGACCACACATGACAGGGTAGGTGTCATTAGATCCATGGCTGTTTGTGATTGTTTTTATTGTAACATGGTAATGTTCATAAATATCAACACTTTCAGCACGTATAGAGAAAAAAAAACACAACTCCTACCTTCGCAGAGGCTTTAATATTAAACTCATAAATGTTACGTTGTCTTCGTACAACATGCTTTTAAGCTTTTTTTTTTTTTTTGAAATATAAAATAACAACATATTTCAAAATATTTTCCTTTTGATATTTCCTGGAAGTGCTTTATAATGGTCCAGTCTTTAGCAGTCATAACACTGAATATTTAATTGAATGCAACTGAATATTCACCATTTCTTAAATTACACTAAATACCTTTGTTTTTCTCAATCCTGTTCTAGGAAAATATAGAAGCAAAACGAGAAACTAATGGTAATTATGATGCCATGATTGTTCTCCTTGAGTGTCTAAAGAGAAGAGAAAATTGGGCAGAGCAGTTCATCGAGGGCCTGGAGGCATGTGAGCAGTCAACGCTTGCAGCTGAGATGAGAGCAGAATACAGAGCTCTGACCGGTCGTAACAGTACCGGTAAGTCAAATATTATTTACCCAGATCTAGGTGTTGGGGTACATAGAAAATTTTTGCTCTTAATGCAATTTGAATGTTAAATTTAGCTCTCATCTAAATAAAGAAGTTTACCTTAATTTCCAGACTATTGAGTGCACCTGAATATAGGTCCTGTTTGTGTATAAGTTGTAGGTGTCCACTTTGTAACTTGACATATTTACACAAATATTTTTAAACTTTTAATGAAATGCATACCGATAACACACACAAATGCATACAGTAAATGTTTTTTTTTTTCTGAACAGTGCCAGTAACACGGCTGGTTTAAAAAAAACAACAACAAAAAAACAGTAGCCTACCAAGAAGTCTAACAAAGTGAAGTCAGGCCCTCTGGACAGATTTATCGTATTGAAACATTTTGTCTTTTATTCAAAAGACTTTGTCAGTCTGAGGAGCTGCAGTAAACTTCCTGCACCCCTGTGTAAACTCTCTGGGGGGCACAACGGAGAGGGGAGGAGAGAATGGGGGGAAGGGGGGAACTTGGTCCCCTCCCTCAGTGGACCCATGAAACCAAGTTTCATGGGTCCACTGTGATCTGTTCGGTAATTTCATTGGTCAGATATATATTTTTTTAAACTTTACTTATACAGGTAGGCCCCACCCCCCCAAGAGAGACGTGTTTTGATAGCCTGAAGCTCGTTAGCCCGTCAAAAAAAAAAAAAAAATCCATAAATTAGGTATTGTTTAAACCCTAGTGTTCAAAGCCTGTGAAAGAAGTAGCAGCTTATAGTCCGGAAATTACAGTAAGTTTATAGTAAGATATTTTATGCTCAGACCTTATTTTAGTGTGCAATGTGAGGAATCTGTAGAAAACAGAGGTCCATTGCGAAGATATGTATGCACATCAGCTTAATAACTTATGAATGCTCAGTAGTGAATGTTGAGATTTAATGAAAAGGTAAAAACTGAGTTAAAAAAAGAAGCAGAATAGTCACTAAAAGCTAAATGTAACAGGTTAGCTAAAAGATTCAAACATGCATGTTAGGCTGTCTTCAGATCCAGGCCTTCCTTGCAAAAGAGATATGTGATCTGTATGGGATTTACCTGGTGAAATAAAGGTTATTAATAAGGCTGAAAGAAGCAAAAGACTGGCTAAATGCCAAAAGTAGCCAAAAATGCTAGCTAGCTACAACCAGCAAAATATTAGCTAAAAGCTAAAATTAACAAAATGCAAGTTAAAAGTAGCGAAAACATACGTAAAAACTAAAGAAGAAAAAACAAAGCTAGCTAAAAGCAGAAAAATACTAGCTTGAAGCTCATTGTAATAAATAGCTTGTCAAAAGCTAAACGCAACTAAAAGATAGCTTAAAGTATCAAATTGCCAGATAAGTACTAAACAAAGGAGGCAGAAGTAGTTGAATAGGTAAGCACATATGGAAAATGAATAGCAGGTAAATGGTTGTATGAATGCTGATTTAGGGTTCATGCACATGTGTGTTTTGTCCTAGACTCTGGTCCTGTTCCCTCTCCAACAACTGTGGTCAGGGTACATGTTCATCCAGCACCGTCTGCCACTCAGCTACCCATTCCAGAGAGTGGTGGAAACATGCAAGCTGCTGTGGCCCCCCCAGCAGAAACAGAACGAGCTGCTCAGGCCCAATACTCTGTGGAAACACCCTCACAGCAGCAAGCAGTTCAAGTTCCTGAAGCTGTTCCCCCACCTGAGCCTGTCCCTGATCCTCCGGTGTCAACAGAGAGAGCTCCCCTTCTTCCATCCACACTGCCGCCTTCCCCAGAAATCTCACACGCTCAAGCAGCAAAGGCCCCACAGCCACAAGAAATAGTCTGTTCTCACCTGGAGCCGGAGGAGAACTCTGAATCAAACACTCAAGCTGTCCCTGGAAACACTAGTCTAATCCAAGACGAGGTGAATTCAGGAAACAAAAAAGTTGTCAGTGTTGTGGTGCCCCCTCAAGAACACCATCTGGTGTCAACCAGTGAAACGGGCGCCTCACCTCCAGATCATTTCCACTCAGCACTTACCACAAATAACAAGCCACCGCACGGCCCAAACTTAGACGGCTCCTCTGTCCCGACAATGACACCAGAGAAGCAGCCGGTCCAGGACACCACTCCTCTGGTCAACAAAGTTCCCACTGCTGTTCTGCTGGCCTCTAAACCTGCAGCCACACAGGTGAACAGCAACCTGTACACAATCTGATGGTTTTCAGCACTGCACCTTCTCATAGTCCTTGTTCTTCTCATAGACATCAGGTTTGCTTGAAGTCATTTACACCTTTTATTTCCTAACTTTGCTGGTATATTGCTACATTTCTTGTAAATGTATAACAACTTCTTTCATTTTCTTTAATCACCGGCATGTGTCAAGCTGCCACAGTACTAAAAAAACAACTCAAACTTTAAAAACATTATTCTGCAGAACTGATAGTGGCCTTTTGTTGTTCACTCAGGCATTTAGGTTCAAACTTTGTTCACCAATAATTTAAACATATTTTATAAAAGTATAAATGATAGTCAGCAAATGTTCACCTTTGCTATTAGTGTCCTAACAAAATATCGACTTTAAATCAGTTCCATATGCCTCTTGGGCTGCTGTGTTTGATGATGTGCTGCAATGAAAGGTTTTATTATGTAACAGAACTGATTAAAAAAATAAACCCAACACGTTCTCTATTTCTCTGGCAGATTTTCATAAGCAGCCCGTTGACAGGACATGAAGTTACAACCTCTCCTGATGGAATGAACGCCTCTCGTGTCGATGAGGATTATGAAACTGTGTGTCTGAGCAAGCCAAATCAACTCATCAGCTTTCAACCAGAAAATCCTGCAAGTCCAGTCCAGGCATCAAGTCCACATGTTCAGCTTTACTCTGGTGACACTGGACGTCTGGAAATAAGTCAGGATTCATCTGACACAGTGACTCCAGCCCTGTCCGTCCAAGAAAATGGAACCACTGTTAATCAGAATGAACCTGAGGAGAACCATTATGAGTCTCCAAATCAGAGCATGGAAGAGGTGCTGGAGAATGTGGTGTGTGTATCGGAGGTGCCATCGGTCTCTAACCTGGATGGTCAAACTACAGTGCCACATGATGAAATTATCAGTAAAAGCAATTCTGAACCACCAATATTCACTAATGCTGCTGTGTCAAGGTCAAACTCCCCTCACAGTGAGAACAGCAACCCCTCTGAGCCAAAAGCCCTGCAGATTTCAGAAAAAATGATTGCTCCCTACACCCCTCCATGCCAGTCAAATAATGCAAAATACTTTCTGGTGGCTGCAGCGGTTGGTGTCTGTGCGCTGCTGATGGTATGGAAGTTTAAAAAATAAAAGGTATTTATTACCTATAATGAAAGGGGAGTTAAGGTTATGGTTCCTTACTGAAGTCACTACACAAGGATGGCACAAAGCCTTGGGGGGTGGTCATTTTGACCCAAGGGCAGCAAGAGGGTAATTACTTGTAATAGTTGACTTCTAAGACCTTTGATCATGTCATTATTTTAGAGTTTGTTGTTAGGTCTGTCTGCATTTTGTGTTTTAACTATTAAATGTCTTTTCAAGATGCCTTTTCAGGTCTGTCTAGTAAATAAATCCCCGAGGCTCATTGGGATTAAACTGTATAAAGAAAGGTTGAATGAAAAAGATGCAAATTCTAACATTAATTTTAGTCTAGTCATTTTATGGAATTGGGTTAAGCTCTTTCCACCTGAAAAGGGTCTTGCTCTTCTATCAACTTTAATGTGGCCTGAACTGCAAGGTGTACCCCCACAAATATATCAAAACTACTGACTCGGCACTATGATGTGGGCTACTACTTTTACTGGCATTTTGAGTTACCATGGCAATGTAATTTGCAAACGATGCCATTTTTCTTATTGGAAAAACAGTGACAACTCTTCACAGCCTCTAACTGCCACATTAAGGTCACATGATGTGACCTACAGTGCAGAGGTCTCTAAACAAAACTCTGTATGTCATCGAACAAACCCCACCACCACATCTTTTAACATACACATAAATGTTATACTGTACAGTTTATCAAAACAAAAACATTTTTGTCTTCTGAATTTTAAAATGGCAGCCACGTGGCAGTCCCCATCAAGTTTTTCCAGGAACTTTGTAGTTTATGTACTTGTTTTAGTTGTGGGGTTTTAAAGTACTCTGACGCTGTTGCATTACTGATTGCGTGCATGTTTTTTGCAGGGTTGTGGTCTTTCTGCTGTCAGAATATTGTGGGCACATCATGAACCTTGTTGAATGCAGACTGTAGATGAATGGGTTCCAGCATTTTATTGCAAGATTTAAATATTTTTGTCAGGTAAGCATTGCTAAAACTACATGATGGTTAGTGTCCTTTATATTTATTTGAACATTGACACAAATAGGTCTCTACATACATATTATTAAACTCAAAGCATTAGTGATCATCTAAATCACAAATATTCTGATGCATGCTCAATAATCCAGGTAGAAAAAAAAAAAAAAAAAAAAAAGTTAAATCTGGTCCTCTGGACATTCAAAAAAAAAAAAAAAAATGTAGAAACATGTCTTTCATCCAAAGGACTTCAGTCTGAGGTGCTGTATTCAGCTCAGTCTCTTAAATAGCACCTTCTCAGAGTGGATCAACCAGTTTGCTGTTGAAAACCAAAACCAGCTGCTCACATGATCAAGAAGAACCATCAGCCTAACAATGGATCATTAGCACCTGATGGCTGTTTACTATTCACAGAGGGCTGAGTGATACTAGCAATAACAGCGTTGTAAGAGGGGGACAGTTGAACCCGGAGGCCTCCACCCCTGTTTAATGATGGACGATTTATTTTCACAAAGATGGCCTCCTTTACTCCTCTCTCAAACCATCGTTCTCTATCCAGGATGTGAACATCTTCATCCCTGAAAGAGTGACCGCTGGCCTGGAGATGAGTGTAGACCGCAGAGTCCTGGCCTGATGTTGCTCTTCTGTGCTGGGTCTGTTTATAAGACTTAGCTGAATACAGCACCTCAGACTGAAGAAGTCTTTTGGATGAAAGTCAAAATGCTTCTACAAATTTTTTTTGTTTTTTTTGAATTTCCAGAGGACCAGATTTAACTTTTTTAGACTAAATCACAAATGGATATACAGTACACTGGAATGGCCACTAACAATGCTGACATCCTGATGCATGCTCGATAATCCAGGTAGATAAATCTAACGAGGTCAAATCAGGTCTGTCCATCCAGAGGACCTGACTTGTTAGAATGCTAGGTGATATTTGTGGCTGCCATCTTGGTAGGTGCTACATCTATCAATGCACTGTTCACATAAAAACCACACAACATTAAAGCTTTGTGCATTAAAGCATTGTATGCTGTCATCAGCCAAAAATTCAATAAAAACAGCCATATTTTCCTAAATCATATGCTGTGCATATTGTAAAAGGGGAAAAGAACGCTGTGTAATAAGCTTCTCACAATGCCTCGTGATGGCGTAGGCAAAACACCATTCAAGCAGACTACATTGATAAAATTATTAAGCGCTGAAATAATTCTAGGCAGACCATTAGAAAACAGGACTTCAGTATTTTTAAAGTCTACTTAGTCTAACCAGAACTTCTTGACAGAGTTTAATTTTTGTTTTTTTATCCTCCGATATTTATGGTCTGACGCCATGGCATGAACTAAGGACAGTAGAACCTACCAAGATGGTGCCCAAATTTTCACCTCATTAGTATAGACTACACTTGCAGTCCCAGTGTATTTCTATTTCTTTGTCCTGGTATCAAGGAATTAAAGAATCAAAATATGAAAAACAAAATTTTAACTAGAAAGTCCTGGAGAAACTTTGATGGGGACTGCCGGCTGCTGCGGTAGCTGTGGCAGCCATCTTTAATCAAAATGGCTCCAAATGTTAATATTTTCTAGAGATACATCTGATGATTACTTTCTGCGAGTTTCAAACAAATCCAGCAGTGAGTTTCTGTTTTCTTCAGGGACCTCAACACGCTTAAGTCATGTGACTTGACAGCAGCAGTTGGTGTGAGGACTGTTCTCTCATTCATTTCCTATGGGGAAATATGGTGTCTTTGTTAGCAAAATATGTCTCCATGGTAACTCGGATTGCCAATAAAAGTAATAGCCCTAATCTCGAGATTGGGCTGGTCGTTTTGATATAAGTTGTGGGGGTACACGTTGCAGTTCGGGCTGCATTACTGGTAAATTCAAAAAGCGTTCAATACAAAAATTACTGGATTACTGCATTACTGGTAATTGAAGAAAAATAAATGAAGAAACGCTTATTAGGTGCAGAATAGACTAATAGGTGTCTCCATGCACTGAAAAGGGTCTTGCTCTTCTATCAATTTTAATGCGGCCCAAACTGCAATGTGTACACCCACAAATATATCAAAACGACCGACTCAGCACTATGATGTGCTGTTACTTTTATTGGCATTTTGGTTACCATGGCGATGCTATTTTCAAACAATGATGCCATCCTCCAGCAGTCACGCACCCAAGTGTCCCTGGGCAAGACACTGAACCCCTCGTTTCCTCCGATGTGTGTCCCATCAGTGTATGAATGTGATAAAGCTCTGATTAAATGGTAAATGAACTGTACTTGTATAGCGCCTTTCTATCTGATCAAGATACTCAAAGTGCTTTGCACTACAATCTGTGTCCTCATTTACCCATTCATACAGCACTCTACTAGATCTCTACAAAGCTAATTGAACAAATCATTCTAAAGAGACTAATCAGAGCTTTAGATCACATTCATACACTGATGGGACACACATCAGAGGCTATGAGGGGGTTCATTGTCTTGCCCAGGGACACTTCAACACGTGACTGCTGGTGGATTCGAACCCCCAACTCTTGCATTGGAGGACGACTGCTCTAACCACTCAGCCACAGCCGCCCTGATTAGTCTCTTTAGAATGATTTGTTCAATTAGCTTTGTACATATCTAGTAGAGTGCTGTATGAATGGGTAAATGAGGACACAGATTGTTGTAAAGTGCTTTGAGTATCTCTATAAGATAGCAAGGCACTATAAAAGTACAGTCCATTTACCATTTTCTCATTGGAAAAACAGTGAACTCTTCACAGCCTCTAACTGCCACATTGAGGTCACATATGACCTACAGTGCAGAGGTCTCTAAACGAAACTCTGTATGTCATCGAACAAACCCCACCACCACCACATCTTTCAACATACACATAAATGTTATACTGTATAGTTTATCAAAACAAACATTTTTGTCTTTACATTTTAAAATGGCAGCCACGTGGCAGTCCCCATCAAGTTTTTCCAGGAACTTTCTAATTCATGTACTTGTTGCAGTTGTGGGGTTTTAAAGTACTCTGACGCTTTGTTGCATTACTCATTGCATTCAGAAACACTTTTTAGATGTAGAATAATAGGTGCCTTCCATGCATTGCATGGAAGTATTGCATTGCCTTGCCTTTGGCAAGATCATTGAGATCATTGCCAAGGCAATGCACTGCTCTCCTATGCATTGCAATGGCAGTCTCCAATAATACAGAACGGTGGGTGCCAAATTAGTATGCTGAAAGCTCCCACTTTTTTCTTTTTTTTAACAAAAAGCATTTTCTAACTAGTAGTGCTTGTGGCTCATCCTGACATTATATGATTTAGTTGAGACTTTCAACATATATTTTGTTTTAAGTACTTTGTAACAAAATATTTAAAATGTCATTTGGAAAACACTTTCAGTATAAAAAATGTAAAATATGTGATTATTGTGCCTTAAAGTGCCATTATGCTCTGCTTGCGCACATTATGTACAGGTCCTTCTCAAAAAATTAGCATATTGTGATAAAGGTCATTATTTTCCATAATGTAATGATAAAAATGAAACTTTCATATATTTCAGATTCATTGCACACCAACTGAAATATTTCAGGTCTTTAATTGTTTTAATACTGATGATTATGGCATACAGCTCATGAAAACCCAAAATGCCTGTCTCAAAAAATTAGCATATTTCATCCCACCAATGAAAGACAAGTGTTTTTAATACAAAAAACGCCAACCTTCAAATAATCATGTTCAGTTATGCACTCAATACTTGGTCGGGAATCCTTTTGCATGAATGACTGCTTCAATGCGGCGTGGCATGGAGGCAATCAGCCTGTGGCACTGCTGAGGTGTTATGGAGGCCCAGGATGCTTCGATAGCGGCCTTAAGCTCATCCAGAGTGTTGGGTCTTGCGTCTCTCAACTTTCTCTTCACAATATCCCTCAGGTTCTCTACGGGGTTCAGGTCAGGAGAGTTGGCAGGCCAATTGAGCACAGTAATACCATGGTCAGTAAACCATTTACCAGTGGTTTTGGCACTGTGAGCAGGTGCCAGGTCGTGCTGAAAAATGAAATCTTCATCTCCATAAAGCTTTTCAGCAGATGGAAGCATGAAGTGCTCCAAAATCTCCTGATAGCTAGCTGCATTGACCCTGCCCTTGATAAAACACAGTGGACCAACACCAGCAGATGACATGACACCCCAGTGACTGTGGAAACTTGACACTGGACCTCAAGCAATGTGAACTCTGTGTCTCCTCTCTTCCTCCAGACTCTGGGACCTTGATTTCCAAAGGAAATGCAAAATTTACTGTAATCAGAGAACATAACTTTGGACCACTCAGCAGCAGTCCCAGGCGAGATGTTTCTGACGCAGTCTCTTGTTCAAAAGTGGCTTGACCTGGGGAATGCGGCACCTGTAGCCCATTTCCTGCACACGCCTGTGCACGGTGGCTCTGGATGTTTCTACTCCAGACTCAGTCCACTGCATCCGCAGGTCCCCCAAGGTCTGGAATCGGCCCTTCTCCACAATCCTCCTCAGGGTCCGGTCACCTCTTCTCGTTGTACAGCGTTTTCTGCCACACTTTTCCCTTCCCACAGACTTCCCACTGAGGTGCCTTGATACAGCACTCTGGGAACAGCCTATTCGTTCAGCAATTTCTTTCTGTCTTACCCTCTTGCTTGAGGGTGTCAATGATGGCCTTCTGGACAGCAGTAAGGTCGGCAGTCTTACCCATGATTGCGGTTTTGAGTAATGAACAAGGCTGGGAGTTTTTAAAAGCCTCGGGAATCTTTTGCAGGTGTTTTGAGTTACGTCGTTGATTCAGATGGTTAGGTTAATAGCTTGTTTAGAGAACCTTTTCATGATATGCTAATTTTTTGGGACAGGCATTTTGGGTTTTCATGAGCTGTATGCCATAATCATCAGTATTAAAACAATTAAAGACCTGAAATATTTCAGTTGGTGTAAAATGAATCTGAAATATATGAAAGATTAATTTTTATCATTACATTAAGGAAAATAATGACCTTTATCACAATATGCTAATTTTTTTAGAAGGACCTGTACTTTCTTGTATTTGGTGCCATTTTTGAATTTGTTAGCTTATTAGTCAATTGATTTTATTTTTATTTGTCCTGTTATTAATAACAGGTGTTCAGATTTTTTGGTGT